GGCAAAACCTTTAAGTACCTTTCTTCCCTTTCTACACATAAAATAATTCATACTGGAGAGAAACCCTACAAATGTGAAGAATGTGGCAAAGCCTTTAACAACTCATCTACCGTTACTAAACATAAGAAAATTCATAATGGAGAGAAACCCTACAAATGTGATGAATGTGGTGAAGCCTTTAAGTACTCCTGTTCCCTTACTGCACATAAGATAATTCATACTGGAAAGAAGCCTTACGAATGTGAAGAATGTGGCAAAGTGTTTAAGCGCTCCTCTCCCCTTTCTAAACATAAGAGAATTCATACTGGAGAGAAACCCTACAAATGTGAGGAATGCGGCAAAGCCTTCAGTCGGTCCTCTCTTACTACACATAAGATAATTCATACTGGAGAGAAGCCCTACAAATGTGAAGACTGTGGCAAAGCCTTTAACCGCTCCTCTAACCTTACTACACATAAGCAAATTCACACTGGAGAGAAACCCTACAAATGTGAAGAATGTGGCAAGGCCTTTCAGCGTTCCTCTATCCTTACTACACATAAGAGAATTCATACTGGGGAGAAACCCTATGAATGTGAAGAATGTGGCAAAACCTTTAAGTACCTTTCTTCCCTTTCTACACATAAAATAATTCATACTGGAGAGAAACCCTACAAATGTGAAGAATGTGGCAAAGCCTTCAACTGGTCCTCACACCTTACTACACATAAGAGAATTCATACTGGAGAGAAACCCTACAAATGTGAAGAATGTGGCAAAGGCTTTAAGTACTCCTCTACCCTTATTAGACATAAGAGAATTCATACTGGAGAGAAACCTTACAAATGTGAAGAATGTGGCAAAGCTTTTAACCATCCCGCAACCCTTTTTTCACATAAGAAAATTCATATTGGAGGGAAACCATACAAGTGCAATAAATGTGGCAAAGCCTTCATTTCATCCTCAAACCTTAGAAGACATGAGATAATTCATATGGGAGAGAATCCCTACAAATGTGAAAATGTGGCAAAGCCTTAAACACTCCTCTACCCTTACTAGACATAAGATAATTCATACTGGAGAGAAACCCTATGAGTTTGATGAATGTGGGAAAGTTTTTAACCAGCTATCAACTTTTATTAAATATGAGAATTTATATGGAACATAAACCCTACAAATATAAAGAATGTGACAAAGAGGGAGTTCTCAACCCTTATTACACATAATTCATATTGGACAGAATCCTTAAAGAATGTGGCCCCTGAAGAATGTGGCAAAGCCTATAACAAGTTTTCAATCAATTTTTTTTTTTTTTTTTTGAGATGAAGTTTCATGCTTGTCACCCAAGCTGGAATACAATGCCACGATCTTGGCTCACTGCAACCTCCGCCTCCTGAATTCAAGTCATTCTTCTGCCTCAGCTTTTCTAGTAGCTGAGATTACAAATGCCTACCACCATGCCCAGCTAATTTTTATATTTTTAGTAGAGATGCAACATTACCATGTTTGCCTGGGTGGTCTCGAACTCCTGACCTCAGGTGATCCACTCACTTTGGCCTCCTAAAGTGCTGGGATTACAGGCATGAACCATGATGCCTGGCCACCATTTCTGAATTCTTAAAAGAGACTTGGTGATAATTCATGCTGAAGAGGAACTCCACAAACCTAAAAAAAGTGACAGTGCTTTTACCAACCCCTCCAACTTCTCTATACATAACAATAATTATTCTGGTGTGAAACCCTAGAAATAAATAAAATGTGACAGAGCCTTTATATGGTGGCCACACTTGATTGTGGGTAAGATAACTCATACTGGCAAAACTCCTACAAGTGTGAAGAACGTGGCAAAACTTTTAATCAGTACTTACACCTTACTTCACAAGAAAGCTATTATTATCCTTGAAAAAAATTTGTACAGAATATAAGGAATATGGATAACCCATTTAACTTCCTACTCATATCTTAACATAAAAAGGTTTCCCTTTTAATAAAAGCCATTAAACCATTAAGAGTGTAATTAATCTTTCAAAAAATATTTCAGGAAGTATAAGCCCCTTTAAAACTGCAAGAATATGAAGACAACTTTTTTTTTTTTTTTTTTTTGAGACCGAGTCTGGCTCTGTTGCCCAGGCTGGAGTGCAGTGGCCGGATCTCAGCTCACTGCAAGCTCCACCTCCCAGGTTTACACCATTCTCCTGCCTCAGCCTCCGGAGTAGCTGGGACTACAGACGCCCGCCACCATGCCTGGCTAGTTTTTTGTATTTTTTTAGTAGAGATGGGGTTTCACTGTGTTAGCCAGGATGGTCTTGATCTCCTGACCTTGTGATCCACCCGTCTCGGCCTCCCAAAGTGCTGGGATTACGGGCTTGAGCCACCGCGCCCAGCCTGAAGACAACTATTACAACTATAAAGGGGGTTATAGCACATTTACTTATATCAGAGATCTTATTGCATAGATTTTGTACTACAGGAAAACCCTGAAGCAGTTGCTCAAGCTTTGTTCAACATCAGGAAATTTATATTGGAGATGAGTCCTGTAAATGTAATACGTTTAGAAACACTTTATTTTTTTTCCAGAAACTACATCTTAGAAAACACCAGAGAGTTTATACTAAAATATAGTTTTGCAGATGCAGTAAATATAAAAACATTTAATTCAAAATAGAATGTATATAAATATCAGAGAATCTACAGTAGAATAACTAAGGCACAACTACAGTTTTTAGATGAATGATTTGTAGGTAACTTTAAAAGATTTTTGGAAGCATTGTAATTACATTGCAAGTATACTTGTTTAAAATTCTTTGAAAACTGAATAGTGATGTAATACAGCTTTCAAATTATGCTGTTATTCCTATTTTATTCACATGTGAAAGCAAGTGATCAATTCTACATCAGAGATATTAGAGATATTTAAAAATTACTCGGACATTATGACCTTTTCTATAAAAGAGTGAGGACATTAAAATGTAAGATGCATAATGAAAATATAAGTGGAGAGGTTCTTTGTAGTAAACCTCTATTAAGTAATGTATAAGGTAAATGTTCAGAGCAATACTTTTCTACATTATAGTGTCACAAAAATAGTTACAAGTATGTTAAAATAAATTAGTATATTGTTTTACTAATTGTACTATTATGTAATAAAATACAGTACATTTAAAAATTGTTAGGGCTGGGCTCGATGCCTGAAATCCCAGCACTTTGGGAGGTCGAGGTGGGTGGATCACCTGAGGTGGTGAATTCGAAACCAGGCTGACCAACATGGAGAAACCCCGTCTCTATTAAAATTATGAAAAAATTAGCCAGCCATGGTGGTGCATGCCTGTAATCCCAGCTATTTAGGAGGCTGAGGCAGGAGAATTGCTTTAACCAGGGAGATGGAGGTTGTGGTGAGCCGAGATCATGCCATTGCACTCCAGACTGGGCAACAAGAACAAAACTCTGTGCTCCCACCCCTGCAAAAAAAAAAAAAAAAAATTGTGTGTGAAGTTAATTTTATTATTTTTTAACCATGTTAAGACTATTGTGCATTTAACGAAGCATTATCATGCCACCAACTTTAAACTATCCCACCTTACTCAAGGGTGCGGCTACAAGATGGTAGCAATATATGATTTGTTATATAGTGAAATAACATCTCTAGTAATCACTTGCCAGTGGCTTTAAACTGCAAATGAGTTAAAGAATATTGTTTCCAGGCCGGGCGCAGTGGCTCACGCCTGTAATCCCAGCACTTTGGGAGGCCAAGGCGGGTGGATCATCTGAGGTCGGGAGTTCGAGACCAGCCTGACCAACATGGAGAAACCCCATCTCTACTAAAAATACAAAATTAGCTGAGCCTGGTGGCACATGCCTATAATCCCAGCTACTAGGGAGGCTGAGGTAGGAGAATTGCTTGAACCTGGGAGGCGGAGGTTGCGGTGAGCCGAGATCGTGCCATTGCACTCCAGCCTGGGCAACAAGAGTAAAACTCTGCCTAAAAAAAAAAAAAAAAAAGAATATTGTTTCCACAGATTAAATTTTTACTCTTTTTTCTTATTGAAATTTGTTATTTATATTTGTGGTTATATAGTATGTGTACATATTTATGCCTTATATGGCATCTTTTGACTCAGGCCTACAATATGTAGTAATTACATTAGGGTAAATATGGTATCCATAACCTCTAGCATTTATCTTTTGTATTACCAACAGTGTAATTATATGCTTTTATTTATTTTAAAATGTAAAATTAAATTGTTACTACAGGTGTTTTTATGGTCACAATAATTTTACAAAAATATAAATAAAATACGTCCACGTGCAATGGCTCACTCCTGTAATTCCACCACTTTGGGAGGCCAAGGCAGGTGGAATGCTTGAGGCTAGGAGTTCAAGACCAGCCTGGCCAACATGGTGAAACCCCGTCTCTACTAAAAATACAAAAATTAGCCAGGCATGGTGGTGCACGCCTGGAAGCTGAGGCAGGAGAACTGTTCAAACCTGGGAGGTGGAGGTTGCAGTGAGTTGAGATCATGCCACTGCACTCCAGCATAGGTGACAGAGTGAGACTCCATCTCAAAAAAAAAAAAAAAAAAAAACAGAAGAAATAGAAACAAAGTCTATATATTTCTGAGTCCTGAAAATTTATTAATAAATTTGTTATATAGCTTTCTTTGAATGTGTGGTCTCTCTGCCTGCAAGCATATAGACTTTTAGTTTTAATTTACATAGAGTTAAATATACTCATATTACTCTGAAGATAAACCATAGGTGTATGAAAATTATGAAGTGTTTTTGTGTGAGTACAAGTTTGTACGTATTTTCAGAAGATCAATTATTGCAACAAAACTAATTAGGTGACTAACAAAACTAAACACTTTGAAAATCCTGAAAGCAAATTTATACTTACTGCTTTGTATTCAATTTATTAATGTAAAATATTACACCTTATGATTTGGATTCTCCCTGGAATCTCCCTATTAAAGCACAGGCAACTTTGTCTCCAGAAACAACACTCTTAAGTACAACAGTAAAACCCCTCTTCAAACAGAAAAAAAAAAAAGATTTTTAACACTTATTTTCATGAATATTCAACCGAAATTGAATAATTGGATATATTTTTATTGTTCTATGTGTATGTGAATGTATAAAATGGTGCATACAGGAAAAATGAGCGAGAAAAACAGACGTTAGTTAAGATTTGTAGTGAATAAAACTGGAAAGTACTTAATTATTATATCCAGTTGATATCTTTGTTTATGTAGGTAACAAAAGCAGCAGAAAGACTTATTATTTTTTCAAGATGGAATCTTGCTCTGTCACCCAGGCTGAGTGCAGTGGTGTGATCTAGGTTCACTGCAACCTCCACCTCCTGGGTTCAAGCAATTCTCATGCCTCAGCCATTTTAGTAGCTGAGATTACAGGTGTGTGCCACCACGCCTGACTAATTTTTGTATTTTTAGTAGAGACAGGATTTCATCATGTTGGCCAGACTGATCTCAAACTCCTGACCTCATGATCTACCTGCCTCAGCCTCCCACAGTGCTGATATTACAGGCATGAGCCACTGTGACTGGCGAAAGACTATTTTAAAAGTTTATTTAGGTGGGTAGACAACGTTCTAAGCTAATACCCTGGATTCCCAGTCTCTTGCACACCTGCTGTGTAATACTTTCCTCTTGAGTGTAGAAACATGTGTGACTGTGCTGGGAAATCACTCATGAAATTAGGTTACTCATGTGTTGACTTTGTCTTTATCAAAATGGAGATTATCCTGATTGTGCTAAACTTAATCAGATGTGCTTTTAAGAGAAAGAGACACACCATAGAAAAACACCCCTACTGGCCTAAAAGTAAGTGACTTCTTGGTGGAACATGTAAGCTGCTTATGGTGGCCACATAACAGGAAACATGTTCGTATATTGTCTTCATCCTGCCTCCTACATGTTGGTTTCAGTAAGGAGCATAAGAGGATCTTATGGCAGAGGGTAAAAAAGGGACTCTCGTTCATGTAAGAAATAATCACCTCTCATCTGGGATAGCTTAAGAGAAACAGGAGACCACAACAGGACCACATTAATGGGAGAAAAAGGGTAACCTGGGTAAAAGTGCTCACTGGCATTATGGAACAATATTGAGCAAGCTGTAGTGAATGGTCAGCCTCTGGGATACTGCTAGTCTACCAACAATGCTGAACTTAATTCTATTTCAATCAGCATGTCTGCACTATTCTGGTGACCCAGGTTTACACTATTCATTACAGAAATACCATAAAGACCAGCGGGTAATGTCCTGGAATTGAACTTACTTCAAAAAGCATACTTAATTGTTTTCACATTTG